GTGGAATAGGCCTATGGGGAAAACCACTATAAAAAAAGCGCACCATGCTATCTACCGCAAGGTGGTGTGGAAATGATAGCGCATCATTTTCTCGCCACGAAAAGGGGGGACGGGTCATTTTTCAGCGCGGTATTGCGATATATCGCAAACCACCATCATGTCTCGGAGAGCGACCCGCCCACCGCTTCGCCGCGCTCGTAGTATCGGATTACGGTGGGACGACTCTCGTCGCCGCGCGCTTTTACTCACGCAGATTGGCCGATCTGTTTTATTTAATATTTCGTTAATTATTGCGACAATCCCAAAACAATACAGGTCATTCCTTCTTAATTCGAGCCAATCTACTTATTTATTTCATTTTGGTCGAAAATCGACGGACACCCTGTATATATAAATATAAATATACATATATATATATAAATATAAATATATATATATATATATATATATATATATATATATATATACCGGGTGTTTCAGACCACCCGTACACCCCATTTTAAAGCAAAGGAAGTGGTTATTTTGAAAAATGTTTCAGACAAAAGTTGTTGAAGATAAAGTAATGCATTACATGGGTAAATTTGATTGACCTTGGGTGGCGTCGTGAAGGTCATGTCAAGGTCGACTTGAATTTTTTAAATGGGAACCCCTATTTTTCATTGCATATTCTTGTAGCTTATCTCGAGAGCTTTCCAAAACACTATAATTAAGTACCTTTTTATTAAGTACTTTTTGAGTTATAAGGCTTAAAATAATTTCTTAATTTTATATAAACCATAAAATATCTAGTAAACCATTCATTTTTCGATTATCTTACCTTCATACTTTTATGTACAAAATAATGAGAGGAATCAATTGGTGTAAAGAAAACACATAGTTGTTTCTAAGAAAAAATATGGAATTGTTAATTGCAAATTACATATTTTTTCTTAGAAACAACTATGTGTTTTCTTTACACCAATTGATTCCTCTCATTTGTACATAAAAGTATGAAGGTAAGATAATCGAAAAATGAATGGTTTACTAGATATTTTATGGTTTATGTAAAATTAAGAAATTATTTCAAGCCTTATAACTCAAAAAGTACTTAATAAAAAGGTACTTAATTATAGTGTTTTGGAAAGCTCTCGAGATAAGCTACAAGAATATGCAATGAAAAATAGGGGTTCCCATTTAAAAAATTCAAGTCGACCTTGACATGACCTTCACGACGCCACCCAAGGTCAATCAAATTTACCCATGTAATGCATTACTTTATCTTCAACAACTTTTGTCTGAAACATTTTTCAAAATAATCACTTCCTTTGCTTTAAAATGGGGTGTACGGGTGGTCTGAAACACCCGGTATATATAAAGTCTGATCGCGAAATAAGTCATGTTAGATACAAAATTTTTAAAGATTTTTTTTATGGGATCGCTGTAACTAATGACATTCATAATAAAATAATCGTCACTTCATGACTGAAAAATGACGTCAAAATAATGTTATATCAAGACGTCAATATAAAGTCATGTAACAATAATCAGTCATTTTGACGACATATGACCAAAAATGATTAGTTTGGAACGTCAAAATAACGTGTGCTTGCTACCTGAGCAGTAATCCTTCGCATAAAAAAAATTGGTACACGAAATAAAACTCATCCTATATGCAGTCTCCTGCACTATCACATTATCTAGTAACATTAATAACAGATTTCTAAAGTTATTTAGAGACGATTTTTCTTCATTGAAAATGTCGAAGGTTTGTAACTAAACCTAAAATTAAAATTTTATTAAAGTGAACTTTACCTGGAATTAATTGAAGAATGTAGCTTTATTAATATTTTAACTTTACGAAGTTTGCAAAAAGTATATTAAGTAGAGAAGATCGTCATTTTAATGAAATGGCGGGGCTGGTGGCGGATTCTTTGCTTATTTATTTGGATATTTAACATATCTTCAAAAATTACTTTTTTAAAACTTAACTTTTTTAAAAAGTATAAAAAAGTTAATCATGTGTCAGTATTAAATTGTAAAAAATTTTATGTTATTGTAGAAAACTGTTTTATGCACAAGACATAGTATTATTTAAACTACAAAAATGTTACATTAAACAAAGTTAATGTGCAAAATAGTTATTTCTTAATTGTCTACAAAAATTAGTGATATCCTAAAAAAATTACCTTTTCAAAAAAAGGTAAAAAAAAGAAGTCGAGTCATCTCAGTAGTAAAACATTATTGTATAAAACTATTTTACAAAAAATTATTTTAATAAAACATTGCTGTATTAAAAAAAATTGTGTAAAATAGTTGTCATAATTATCTACAAAAATTAATGATAAATTGGAAATGATACAATATTATATTTTTCAATGTATTTCTTACACACTAATTTACAGATACAAAAACAATTTAATTCTTATCAGTATAAGAAATAAATTAAATCATGTTATGGAAGAATATTAAAAGACTATTATGTACTATTACTAATATGAAGGATATAATCAAAAATTTTCATTTTTTAAAACTATATTAATATATTAATATTAATATATTAATCTATTAATATTATAATTATTAATATTATTATTAATATTATTTCTTGTACTGATGAGAGATTGAAACATCTGTACATCTACACATATTTCTTTAAAATGTTGTATATATAATAACTTTATATTTTATTCAAAGTAAATTTTAAAGTAAACTTTTAAAGTAAATTTTATTTTTTTTAAATAAATTTTACTTTTTATTATTTAATTTAAAATTATATAAATGTAATAATAATTTTTTTATTTATACTTTGTTTAATTATGTATTTATACTTTGTTCAATTATAACTTCCTTTAAATTAATATACAGATTTCATGCATCTATTATTTTCATACATTTTATTCTCATCTTTAATTTTAGATGATAATTATTAGTTAATTTTTCTATTTCTTTTTATTTTTCTTCTTTTTATTCTAATATCTAATATATTTGGTAACATTATAGGAGCAGTCCAGCAGGATCTAGTATCCCTACAATCGAGGCAAAAAAAGCAATAGAAGACAATCCTCGAAAAAGAAAATTGCGCATGAAGATCAAGAAGTTAAAAGCGCAAAACAAATCCTTGCGGGAAACCGTTAGAAGACTTCGAATGGAGAAAAAGAAGCGCAACGGGAATGAAACAACGGTTAAAGAAGAGGCCGAATACGAAACTTTGAGGAATTTAGGCAGTAAGTTATTAAATTAAAATTAAGTTAGTAAGTTAAAATTTTGCCAAATTATTGTCTACGCAAATTGATACACAAATCAAAAGCAAAGGTGGTACAAGATACGATCCTGACTTTAACAAATTTGCCTTATCGTTATATTTTTCAAGTCCGCACAATTATAGGAAACTGAAGGAATCACTTGCCTTGCCTTCCGTACGATCATTACAATTATTTACTAATTCGTGGAATATTATACCCGGAATAAATAATAAAGTTTTTGACGCTTTCTCTATAAAATTAAATTTATTACCATTAATAGAGCGCCATTGTATATTGTGTCTAGATGAAATGAGTTTAAAAGCTCATTTATTTTATAATGTATCGCGGGATGAGATAATAGGATTCGAAGATACGGGTTACAATAAATCCTCCTTGCAAAAAGTGCTTTAGTTATAATGGCACGTAGTATCGCAGGTAATTAGAAAATCCCCGTTTGCTATTGTTTTGTAGAAACTGCATATAACAGTAAAATTTTGAAAAATTTAATTTTTAATATTATAATTAAGTTAAAAAATTGTGGTGCTAGAGTGCATACATTGGTGACAGATATGGGGTCGAATTTTATATTATTATCTCGCGAGTTAGGCATTTCCACAAAAAATTCTACATTTTTTGTTGAGGAAGAAAAAGTAATTTATATTTTTGATACCTCGCATTTAATTAAAGCTACACGTAATAATTTATTACAACATAATTTTCAATTTAATAATAAAATAGCTTCGTGGGCACACATTATAGAATTTTATCAAAGAGACAGCAAATAATGGATAAAACTGCTCCTAAATTATCTAATTATCATATTCAACCTAATAATTTTTTAAAAATGAAAGTAAAATATGCTGTCCAAATATTTAGTAATCATATAGCTGCGGGTATGTGCACACAAATGTCTTCCGGTTTGTTTGCAACTGAAGCAGTTGATGCTATAGATTTGATTGATAATTTTGATAAATTATTTGATATGTTAAATTCTTCATCTGTAGTTACACCTAAAGAGTACGGAAAAGTTTTCACTGGAACCAAAAAACAAGCAGAATTTTTAGAAGAAATGATATATTTTTTAAAATCTATAAAAGTCATTAAAGAAAATGATTCTAATGTTAATGTTAAATGCTTTAAATGCTGGCAGATCACAATTAAAGGTATAATAGAACTTTGGGAAATATTAAAGAATTATAATTTCCCTTATCTCCGAACACGTCGATTAAACCAAGATAGTATTGAAAATTTTTTTGGCTCTGTTCGACAACAAAGTGGAAATTGTTCAAATCCAATACCAATACAATTTTCCCGCGCTTTCAAAAAACTTTTTATTTTAAAATTTTTACAACATTCAAACACACAAAATTGTGCACAAGATGAAGATGAAATGCTTAATTTATTTAAAACATATCCCAGATAGCAAAATCGGATAGAACACGTTTTGCAATTTATGTGCTGCATACTATGTCAGCAGAATGCTGTCAATATTCTAGCAAAATATGCCGTTTCAGTTAATGTTGTCAGAAACACAGCAAAAGTTGAGCATAACGTGCATTACGATGTAATGATAGAAATGCAGCAGAAATAAAGCAGAGTTTTACCAACCCCAATAATCAAGCATGCTAAGCACGTTCTGCCAGCGCATCATGCAATCAATATGCGGTCTCTGTGTCATCTTGTATCGATAAAGCAGGCAATGTTCGCACAGTGTCATCAGGTAACGCAATCATGCGATGAAAGCATTCTGTAAGTACGATATCGCATTAAAATAAAAGTCGTCGTGCGAATAGGTGCCACGTGCTCAGCAGTCTGCAATTTTTCCAGATTTCCAGGTTTTTTACGCAGGTTTCCTTTTTTTGTTATACTTGAGGAGAGTATATATTTAAGTTTAATTTTTTATAAAAAATAATCTAATATAATTTAAAAGTATTCCTATATTTTTATAATTGATTATACGTACAAACAATACATAATCTCAATTTATATTCCATTTTTTGATAATATATATATATATAAATTAACTTTTGATTAAAATTAGTTTGTTTTTTTATAATTTGCAGTATGTATAAATTACAGAAAATACGTTCTCGGAAAATTATTCATAATGTTTCAGTTGGATATAAGCAGAAATTAGCTCGAACAGTTCTTGCTTTGCGTAATGAAATGATAAATATTGCCGAAATATCTTCAAAATCTAATAAAAGAGAGAATGTTTTAAAACTAAATGCTTCAACCAATTCGCTTATTATGCAGGAATGTCAAAGTACGGATTTTTTTCAAAAATCTTCTTCGAATAATGATATAGAATATAATAATTTTGATTTAACAGTTGAAAACAAAAATAAATATGAGACTGAGAATTCTTTGATAGTTACAGAAAAAAGAAATTTTGAAGGTCGACTTGCTTCTGTATTTTTAAAAACAGGGATTCATCATGTCCAGGCTAAAGAGATTTTGAAATTCCTCAGAACTCATTCTTGTTTTTCGCATCTTGCAAGCGATCCAAGGACAATTCTGAATACTCCTCGCACATCATGTCATATTGATAATATAGCTGGAGGGCAATATCTTCATTTAGGTTTTCAAGAAGCTATTAAATCTATTCTTCAAAATACTTCTTTGAATATGATTCCTAATAATTTTGAAATAGATTTTCACATAGATGGGATTTCTTTAGATAGTGCAAGTAACATACAGTTATATCCTATACAAATTAGAATTGCAAATATTCCTCAAAGCAAGCCAGAAATCGTAGGAGTTTGGAAAGGATCTTCGAAACCTACAAGTGCTGCAGAATTATTAAAACCTTTTGTCAATGATGTACTAGAAGTTAGAAACAATAATTGGATTGTTTTTAATGGAAAAAAGCATACATTTGATCTCCGTTGTTTTATCGCAGATGCAGTAGCACGTGCTTTTATATTAGGGCATCAAGGCCATAAATCAAAAGTTCCATGTTCGAAATGTTGGGTTGTAGGAACAAGTATTCGTCAAGGTGTTATGATATATAGTGATGTTGACCATAGGTTGCGAACAAATGAAGAATATATTATGTGTTTAGATGGAGAACATCATATTGAAGGTGAAGCCTATATTTCACGTCTTTCTATAGATTTAGTAAATCAATCTATTTTCGATTATATGCATTTAGTTTGCCTCGGTGTTATGGAAAAAATATTTTTAGCTGTCGTTGATGGGAAATATGCTTCTTCTGCAAAACTTTCACCTGTTTCGATAAAAACTCTTTCTGCTAGATTGGAGATAGCCAAGAAATTTTGTCCACAAGAATTTGCAAGGAGGCCAATTAATGTAACAAAACATCGTACTTTTAAGGCTACAGAGCATCGTCAGATTTTGTTGTATACTGGTCCTGTCATTTTTTATAAACTTCTTAATGAAGCAACATATTTACATTTTTTGTTATTACATTCTGCGATTCGTATTTTAGTAGACACTGTTTCTTGTAGGAATGCAGCAGTCATTAATGAGGCAGAAATAATGTTAAAAATTTTTCAAGAGTTCCTGAGCATTATGGTATAGAATTTCTTTCGTATAATGTTCATGGCCTTCTACACTTAGCTAATGATGTTAGAAATTATGGTCCTTTAGATTCGTTTTCAGCTTTTCCATATGAAAATAATATGAATTATTTCAGAAAAATTATCAGAAAGCCAAATCAACATTTGCAGCAAATAGCAAATAGACGTTCCGAAGAAAAAAATGTTAAAAAAAAAATTTGTTGCTTTTACTGAAAATTTCATCCATTGTTCAGGTTTGCATAAAAATGGACCTGTACCTGCAGTTACTTTTAATAATTTTTCTCAATATCGAAATTTACATTGCAGACAATTTACTTTATCATTAAATGGAAGGGATGATACAATAATTCTTAAAGATTCTAATATTTGCATTCTTCAAAATATTATTGGCCATGATAATGAGTATCATCTTGTAGTGAAAAATTTCCGTAAAATTGAAAATTTCTTTCATACTGTAATACCATCTTCTAATATAGGAATTTTTCATTGTTTCTCACTTGACGATGAGTTAATAATAATTAATTTCAATCAAGTTGCTGGAAAATGCTTCAAACTTCCTCTCTGTGATATAATACATACTGCAAATTCTGATGATTATGTTGTTGTCAAAATTTTATCTTCTTTTAATTAACAAATTTATTAACGTATTATTTTTTTCGATTAAGATAATTAATTTTTTTGGCGGGTTTTTTTCCAGTTTCCAAATGAATAAAAAAAGTCACCGTCTTGTGGGTACGCTTGGATCACAACAAAGTATGCAAAATTTAAAACTTGACATAGAGAATGCAAAGAAGACGTTGTCATTAGATAATATGGAATCTCAACTATCACCATCTTTGATTAATCCTATCTTAAAAAGTGTATGTTAAGTCGATTACTCGAATATATCGAAATGTTGAAGCCTCCTTTTCTGCGATGCTGATTGGATGCTGGTGCATTCCGATATATTCGCGGTTAGGTTAGGTTAGGTAGCGTAGCGCTCGAGCGCTTCGTCATCCATAACCTATTTGTTACTCTTTCGTGTTACATAGTAGTGCGTTAAGAAAGAATTAAAAAGAATCTCGAAGAGGATAGAAGAAGGAGAAAGAGAGAAAGAAGAAAAGTCGAATAAAGAAGGTATGTAAATATATGTATAAATAATGTTTTTTCTAAAAGAAAGTATGAAAAACTTTTATCCGGAAAAGGTCATATTACTTGTACATATCCTCTCTGCATTATTGTATGTGCTCTTAATAAAACATCAATATATATGCAAGATAATATATGGAAGTTATTTGTAGATATGCATTATATGTTCTACGTTATCTTATATACTATGCGCAGTAATGATTTAAGAGTATATGTACTAATGCGAATAGTATTCATTATTACTAATCTAATTCCAATTAATTTTAAATCCTCTCTGCATTATTGTATGTGCTCTTAATAAAACACTAATACATATGCAAGATAATATATGGAAGTTATTTCTAAATATGCATTATATGTTCTACATTATCTTATATACTATGCGCAGTAATGATTTAAGAGTATATGTACTAATGCGAATAGCATTCATTATTACTAATCTAATTTCAATATTACTGGAAGAGTTTGCTTATAAAGAAGCTTGTATAACAAGCTTGTTATCTAGGAAATCTTATATACTATGCATAGTAATGATTTAAGAGTAAATGTACTAATGCGAATAACATTCATTATTACTAATCTAATTTCAATTAATTTTAAATCTTCTCTGCATTATTGTATGTGTTCTTAATAAAACATTAATACATATGCAAGATAATATATGAAAGTTATTTGTAAATATGCATTATATGTTCTACATTATCTTATATACTATGCGCAGTAATGATTTAAAAGTATATGTACTAATGCGAATAGCATTCATTATTACTAATCTAATTTCAATATTACTGGAAGAGTTTGCTTATAAAAAAGTTTGTACAACAAGCCTGTTATCTAGGAAATCTTATATATTATGCGTAGTAATGATTTAAGAGTATATGTACTAATGCGAATAGCATTTATTATTACTAATCTAATTTTAATATTGCTGGAAGAGTTTGTTTATAAAGAAGCTTGTACAACAAGTTTGTTATCTAGGAAATATATAGCTATTCCTTTATATAAGCTTTTGTATAAGTAAACTTCCTAATATTAAAATGTTTAAATTTGATTAATATGTAATGTTGAATTCTATTTAAGTTTGTAGATAGATTTAAATTTATTAATTTAATTTAAATATTGTAAGAAGAGTTTGTTTAAATAATAAAGAAGCTTGTATATATATATAATATATAATATATAATTTATATACAGGGTGAGTTTTTTATCTTGGGACATTGAAATATCTCGTAAAGTTTAAAAGATACGAAAAAATGTTTTAAACAAAAATTATATGATTTTAAAGGGAACATAAGGTAGTGTTATTAGTTTGACCTTGAGGAGTTACTTGAAAGTTACGTGAAATAAGACATCCTGTATGTTTTGTATATTCTCGTAGCTCATCTCGAGAGCTTTCCAAAACACTATAATTAAATTAGTTTTTATTAAGTACTTTCTGAGGCATAAAATCATTTTCTTAATTTTATATAAATTGTAAAATATCTTGTAAAATATTTATTTTTCGATTATCTTATTTTAATACTTTTATGTACAAAATAATGTGAGGAATTAATTGGTGTAAGAAAAACATATATTTGTTTCGAAAAAAAATGTAATTGTTAATTGCAAATTACATTTTGTTTTCGAAACAATTATGTGTTTTCTGTACATCAATTGATTCCTCTCATTATTTTGTACATAAGAGTATTAAGATAAGATAATCAAAAAATGAATATTTTACAAAATATTTTACGGTTTATGTAAAATTAAGAAATAACTTTATGTCTCATAAAAGTACTTAATGAAAATTAACTTAATTATAGTGTTTTAGAAAACTCTCTAGATGAGCTACGAGAATATGCAAAAACATACAGGATGTCTTATTTAAAAGATTGGAGGTAACCTTCACATAATTTTCAGATGACTCTTCAAGGTCAAACGAATGACATCATTTTATGTCTTCCTTGAAACCATACAATTTTTGTTTGAAACATTTTTTCGTATCTTTTAGACTTTACGAGATATTTCGATATCTTAAGATAAAAAACTAATTCTGCATATATATAGATATGTATGCATAAATTATAGATATGTATGCATGTATGTATTATTTGTATAATTTTTTATATATTATTTTTTTAAATTAATGTAAATTATTAATATTTATTTCTTTTGTTTCAGGAAAGGCGAGAAAGTTACAAAATTTACATAATAAATAGTAGAAAAAGAGGAAAAGAATAGTGAAGAGAGAAAATTAATTAAGAAAACTTTTTATATTATAAGTTATTTTAATTTATTTACAATTAGTATTTTATATTTAATTATATTTTAATTTTATTGTATTATAATATATTTTATTATTTTATATTTACAAAAATTTAATTAATATTTAATTTTATTATAGTAGTATTATTAATTATTATATATTGTAATTTATTTTATTTTTTATGTATATGTAATTAATAAATAAATCATATTATTTAGAAGTATTGATATTATTATTATTAATAATTATGATATTGATGATAATTGATGATATGAATGATATATAAATGATGACACTGATGATATAAACTATTATATAATATTGACGATAACAACAATAATAATGATAATAATAACAATGAAGATGATGATAATGATGATAACAAAATAATAATTTTAACAATAACTATAGTTTAATAACCATAACAATAACTATAGTTTAATAACCATAATAATTAACTTATTTATGTAAGTTAATTTATTTAAAGTGAGAAAAACAGCAATAATTTTATTAATTCCTTAAGCGTTGTATCGACGTCAATCTATATTTGGTCTTAAAGTAAATGATAATTGTAACTCCAACAATAATTCGTCAAATTCCATTCCTAAAGAGAATATTAATTTTTATCTTAATTGAATTTAATCTAATAATAATAATAATTTATAAATAATAATAATATTTAAATAATAATATATAAATAATAATAATAATAAATTATTAATATAGTAATAGTATATATAGATAGTAATAGTATATATATATATATATATATATATAGATTATTTAATAGTTATAATATAAAAATTGTAATAGATATTTCAATAGTAAAAAATTTTTTGTATAAATTATTTTTTTTTTATTAATATTTATTAATAATATTAAGTGTATATGTTTAAGATTTTATATATAGTATATTAATATAGAAAATTCTTATAAAATGACGAGACGTAAAATTGTACGTACTTTAGAAGAAAAAAAAGAATTTTTGCAACAACATCGAGAAAAAAGAAGGGAGAATCAACGACGTCGTCGTGAAAATAAGAAATTAGTTGAAAATTCTTTGAAAAAGTTAAATCAACAAACTATTTGTATTGCTGGTACATCAAATGATAATCGTGTAATAGAATTAGATATGGAAAATGAAGAAAATCCTTTAAGTGTTAAAGCAACATTACAATCATCTGTAGAATATCAAACTCGTTATCGATCACGGCAGAAAAAACGATCTTGTTTAAATAATATTAGTACACTATCATTTACTGATGTAATTGAATATTATATTGGTCCTATGGATGTGTATTGTATTCATTGTAATGCAAAACACTTTGCAGCTGAAAAAGTTTCTAATAGAGGATATTCATTTCATGATTGTTGTAATCATGGTGCAGTATGTGTGCAACCATTGCCTGAATTTCCTCAATTCATTCGGAGTTTATTTGATGGTAGTCACATAAAATCTAATAATTTTTTTCAAAATATTCGTAGTTATAACAGTTCATTTTCATTTGCCTCATTTAACGCTAATTTAATTAACTTTCAAGATAGACGACCTGGTCCATATTGTTTTAAAATACAAGGACAGATTTATTATCAAATTAATAAAGCATTATATGCTGTACAAAACGAAAGTCCTACTTATGGCCAACTTTTTATCGTAGATTCAAATGAAGCAATAAATCATCGTCTTAATCAAAATTCATACATAGATTTTGAAATTGTACAAAACCTTGAACAAATAATGCGGGAATTTAATGTATTTGCTCAGTCTTATCAAATGATGGGTGAAGAATTAGAAAAGCAACGACGTTTAGAAATGGAATCTGGTGAATTATTACCGGAGTTACAATTAGTATTTACTTCAAGACCAGATATGGATCGACGTCGATATAATACTCAAAGAATCAATGAAGTTGCTGCTGTATTCTCTACAACAGCTGATGGAGAAATTCCAGAATCATATGTTACAATACGTAATAAAAATACTAAAACTTTACAAAAAGTTAGTATTATGGATCCAAATGTAGAACCATGGATATATCCATTATTTTATCCATATGGTACTCAAGGATGGCATCGTGATTTAAAAAAATTAAATAGTGATAGACGAATAACTAGAGGACAGTATATTAAATATAGCTATTCGTGATGATGAATTTAATGTTTTTTTATTAGGACGTCGCTTATTTCAACAGTGGCTTGTAGACAGCTATGTAAAAATGGAAAAAGATAGAATTGATTATTGTAAAAATCATCAAAAAGAATTACGTAGTGAAACATATCAAGGTTTAAGAGATTATTTACAAACTACGGCTAATAATTTAAATGGACGTATTGGGAAAATGGTTGTACTTCCTTCCACATTTACTGGATCGCCACGCAATATGTTACAAAATTATCAAGATGCAATGGCAATAGTTAGTAAATTTGGTAAACCAGATCTTTTCATTACTATGACTTGTAATCCAAAATGGCGTGAAATTGAAGAAAATCTTTTACCTGGTCAACAAGCTTCGGATAGACCTGATATTTGTGCTCGTGTTTTTAATATAAAAAAAGATTATTTAATTGATTTAATTGTTAAACAAAAATTTTTTGGTGAAGTAGCAGCATTTGTATACGTTATTGAATTTCAAAAACGCGGTTTGCCACATGTTCATATGTTAATTACTTTAAAATACAATTATAAAATTACAACTCCGCAAATTGTTGATAAATATATTTCTGCTGAAATTCCTGATCCATGTGATAATCGTATTCTACATGATATAGTTATGAAACATATGATTCATGGACCTTGTGGTGATTGGTGTTTGATAGATGGACGTTGTTCAAAATATTATCCGAAACCTTTTCTCGAAGAAACTAAAATGGATGAAGATGCTTATCCTTATTATCGCCGACGAAATAATGGAACAAATTTTGAACGTCCTGGTGGATATGTAGTTGATAATCGTTATGTTGTTCCATATTGTCCTACTTTATCAATTATATTTAATAGTCATATAAATGTTGAAGTAGTTTCAAGTATTAAATCAGTTAAATATCTATATAAATATATTTATAAAGGACATGATGTTGCTGCTATAACTATTGAACCAGTAACAGAATGTGTTGTTATTGATCATGATGAGATACATAATTACATCGAAGCTCGTTATGTTGGACCTGTTGAAGCTAGCTGGCGTATTCTTAGTAAAAAACTACAAGATAAAAGTCACGCTATAACACGTTTACCAGTCCATCTTCCTAATGAGCAAAATATTATAATTGAAAATGAAAACATTGACGATGCAATGACTTCTGCTTTAGATCAAGTTACTATGTTAATAGATTATTTTTCATTAAACTTACGCGATGAAGAAGCAAAACAGTATTTGTATATAGAAATTCCAAGTTATTATACATTTAAAAAAGAGAAAGTTAACGGTAAAAATGTATCACGTTGGGTCAAACGTAAAAGTCATTATAATTGTATAGGACGAATGTATTCCGTTAGTCCAACACAAATAGAATTATTTCATTTACGATTATTGTTACTCACAGTAAAAGGGGCCACAAGTTTTAACGATTTAAGAACTGTAAATGGAGAATTTTGTCAATCATTTTCAGTCGCATGTTTAGCTTTAGGTTTGATCGAAGATGATGATGAATGGAAAAAAGCTATGAATGAAGCTGTTGGATGGATGATGCCACGACAACTTCGTAGACTATTTGTACGTATATTATTACATTGTCAACCATTACATCCTGAAGAATTGTGGGAAAACTTTAAAGTAGTAATGTCTGAGGATTATATTCAACATTTTGGTATATTACAAGGATAAAATAAAGCATATGTACAAATTAATAGTATGCTTCGTGCTGAAGGTAAAAGTTTTGTAGATTTTCCACAAATGAAACAATTAACAGAAAATGATGAAGAAGAGAATTGCATGATATTTGAAGAAGCTATGGAAATAGGCACCAAACAATATAAGCAATTAAATGATAAGCAGAAAGAGATCGTCGATCTTATATTAAATGAATTAAATAATAATATTACTTCAAATAATTGTTTTTATATTGATGGTCCAGGTGGATCAGGTAAAACATATATATACACAACTATCTATTATTTAGCTAGAATTAGAAATAAACGTGTATGTACAATGGCATTTACGGGTATTGCAGCTACATTATTACCTTTTGGAAAAACAGTTCATAAGATATTTGGATTACCAGTTCCATTATTTGCTGATTCATCATCAAGTATTAAAATTCAATCAAAAGAAGCTCAATATTTAAAAGAAATTGATATTTTCATTTGGGATGAAGCACCAATGGCACCACGATATGCTTTAGAAATAATGGATCGAACATTGCGTGATATTATGAATAATGATATTCCTTTCGGTGGAAAAATTGTTTTATTAGGTGGTGATTTTAGACAACTTTTGCCTATTAAAGTACATGCTACTCGAAGTGAAATTGTAAATCTTTCTATTAAGTGTAGTTCTCTTTGGAAGTATTTCGTAAAATTCTCTTTAATACAAAATATGCGAGTTCTTCCAGAAGAAATTGAATTTGTAAAGTTTTTATTGAATGTTGGAGATGGTATATTAAATGATCTTAATGATAATATACAAATTCCTGAATGTTATATAGCGTCTATTAATGCTGATATTGTGGAAGATATATATGGTGATTTAATAAGAAAAAAAGAGTTTGTTAAAATGTCTAAATGTGCCATACTTTCTGGAAGAAATGTTGATGTAGATGAAATTAATAAGAAAGTTGTGGAATTATTAGATATAAATGATGAACGAATTTATACAAGTGTAGACACTGCTGTAAATAATGACAATGGTGACATGAGTGAAACATTGTTACCAGAATATTTAAATAGTTTATCTCCATCATCTCTTCCTTCTCATGAATTACGTTTAAGACCAAATAGTATTATTATGTTAATTAGAAATTTAAGTATCAATGAAGATTTGTGTAA